CTGGTCGGAAATCATTCTTATGAGCTGATACCAGCTATGACTTCATCATGCGCGCGCACACACACACGCACACACACTCCTGCACGGCTAGCCTATGAGTAATGCTGATGTCATGTGCTTTGACTAGCGATGTCTGCCGCTCAGAACAGATGTGTAATACATATGAGTTTGCCATGTGTGTATAAGTGTGTGTGTGTGTCTGCTCTTATATGTCAGTGGGTGTAACAGGTATATGTAACCCTGCAATTACAACTCCACAGATCCAGATGAGGGAGGATGTGCAGCAGAGACACTGGGACAGATTAATGATAGTTTAACGTGAGTCAGGATCTTTGCAGCTCCTTTGTCCGGTAAATCTTGAGTTACAAAGTTAAATAGCTGAAAAACACATGTTTTCACCGGGTGCGCAGGTTGCATGAACACAATCTTTATACAGTCTTCATACATAGCAGGATTAGAAGTGCAACGAGGAACTGGCCATTTCCCAATTTCACCACACCTCATGTTTCAGTCATGAGTTGTGCCAATGACTGTATAGTTAAGATGAACAGTAAAGTTAGCTTTAAGTGTCTGTCATCAAAAATAAAACTTTAAATTCTAATTAACCCAAATAATCTGACAGTTTTTAATTCATTTGTCGAATTTCTTTCACTTCTCTAATTCCATGTTTGTTTGGCCCTAATGGTACTAAACATTAAAACATATTTTCTCCACAGAGAAAGTGTCAAACACTGTCAACAACAGTGAACTCATGGTGTTAGTCCGACTAACTGGAACATTAAACAACGTTGCTGTTGAATTTTTGCATTGTGATGGAGCCACAGATCTCTGACACAGATACTTGAAAACCTGGACAAATAAAAACCAAATTTGTCAACATCATTTCTTTATTTTCTGTTTAGATGAACTGACCCCTCGACGGCGGCTTTACCTTCATGTGACAACATCTGTTATGACGTGAGAGCTCGTTTCCCAGAAGGCTCTTTTGAAGTGAAAGTCTGGGGAACCCCTGCTTATTCTATCAGGTCTGCGTGGTCTTTTGATCACCTCATCTCAAGTGAATAGCGTGTGTTATTCTGTGTTGCACTTTCTTCCTGCGTCTCTTTCATCTTTCCCTGCCCCACTCCGGTGCACACCGTCTCGTACGGATGGAACATCTTGCACATGACCTTGTTTTTGTTTTTATTTACAGAATAATGCTTTGTTCATTCCAGAGTCTAAACACAGGCTTTCCGTCAACTCCTGCTCCATGTTCCTCTCTTCTTTCTGCAGCGTTTCTCTCCTCTGTCTTTTGGCTTCACTGCCTCGACACCTTGTTCTTATTTTCCAGAAACATCACTCTCCTGTTTCTTCACTCTCCCTCTAGTCGTCTCTCTTCTCTGCAGGTTTATCTGTTTCCCTTCTTGTGTCGTCCAGACTAAACATCACGTCTATTCTCAGACAGAGGAATTGTGTGTGTGTGTGTGTGTCTGCCTGCATTCTTATCATGTCTCTCTGTTGCAAGTCCAGACAATCTGTATAACGCTGACTGATTGTTACTGCTACAACTATTAACATTGCTACTGTTAAGTTTTATGTGGACACGACTATCTGGAGATGTCGTTAATGGTTTGAGTCTTAATGTTACAGCATGCAATGTTCCCCTGACTTTGTGGAAACAGCTTGGGGTAGGCCAAGTCCTGTTTTAAAAAGACAAAGCCTCCATATACAGGCATAGACTGCACATGGACGGATGATGTCCACGTCCTCCCGTGAAGCCAAAATATCCTTGATATGGACACCGCCATCTTGCTTTTTGACCGAATTTGGAGACAGTCTGCACGGTAGTGATCGTGAACTGGAGATGTGGCATTGAGGTCCCGCTGATACACATGCTCAGCTTTCAATCAATATTTCATCCTTCCTAAAAGGAAACCATCTTTGGGATTTTTTTTTAATCAAATGTCTACTTTGAGTTTTTACTTTGGTCGATGTAAAATGCAGGGAGAGGGGGTTCATTTGAAATGTCCTAGCAAGCACCCAGGGGGCGATCAAGATGGTTTGGTTACACTTTTGAGAACTGCCATGTCGTCGATCTTTATACACAATCTACGGCTGCATTTATATTGGGACTCAATACAATAATGATATTCCCAGTTTAATGTGGAAGAATTCAATTATCTTATAAAGAGCTCGGCCAATGGAAAACCTTCAAGATTAACTGGAATGCTGAATGTGACAATTCCATCATCTTTACAGTGGAAGGTCAACACTTCAACAGAACCAAACGAAGAGCAGACAAGACTTTTTTTTCTTTCTAAGGCAGCTGAAAATGTTTTCCATGTCACACAGAAGGTCTAATGCCATTTTAGTGCGCCGGATCGAGGGCATCGTGACTGGCGTGGAATAACTGTGTGGTATGAAAAGACAGCGTCTGGACAAAAGGGTTTGCCGTGCGTCGCAAGTCAGAGGATGTGAGCTGAAATCGACACCATTACATAGAAATGACTCCACTCATCCCCGCTAACCATGTTTTTAACTTCCTCTCTTCTTTTTAAGAGACTGAAAAGTAGCCAGACTACTCAGGAGCACTTACCCAGAGGCCGTTCTTGCACTTAATTCCTATTTCACTAAGGTTCTACTTTTGTTCCTGTCAATAACACAAAGTGTACAATGGTGGGCTTCACAAATCAGCTTGAGGTACTTGTAATACGCCCACAGGAATGCTTGTTTTCATTATTTATTATTACTTTCATTTATTTTTTTATTTTTAAATTCCTTTTTTTTATGCACCAGAAGGTTTTCGTTTCAGATTTCAGATTTTTTTTCTCCCCCCTATCAGTTGTGTTGCAATGGCAATAAAGTGTTGAATCTTGACCGTGAGCCAGACTTTATTTTCCAACATCATAAAGTTCCCAGGAGCAAATCTCAATAGAAGCCAGGTTCCTAAATCTGGTGGAAAGCCTTCGCAACAGAGCAGAGATCAATGACCAAGGAATCACATGTTCAACCATCAGTACGAACTCCCCGTGACCACAACCTTTTAGACATGTACGACTACATTACATGTGTATGGTGCAATAGATATTTAAACTGGCTCATCTCCTCCTTTCTAAATAAATCTAGGATGGAAAAAAAACCATGTATTGTCATTGTCTGTTTCTCCTTCTGTCTTTGTTTCCACACAAGTCACCTCATAATCTAAACTCTGAGTAAATCTGTGAGCATTTGATTCGTATCTCACACGGCTGAATTCAGCTGAGAGTGTTTTTAATGGAAAATCAACTCATAATATGGGAATTATTAAAATCTAATATTAATGATTCCTATTTCAATTATTTCCTGGATTCATTTTCATCAATCAAATTTCAAATCATAAAAAAAAATACTTGTTTTTTTCCAACCAACACCAATATTCAGTGAACAGCTGCAACAATAGGTAGACCAATGGAAAACGAATCAATCGTTATTGTAACAGTCGATTAATTATTATAAAAGTACCAATGAATTGAACATTGTTGGGTTTTGGACTGTGAACTATGATGAAAATAATCATGAGCCGAAATTCTGTTTATCATCACACAGGAGAGTTAATGAAGTAGAATATTTATTCTATTGATTGTTGATAATCATCTCAGGTAGTCAACTCGTATTCCTACTTCTACCATCGTTACGAATAAGACCGGCAAACACAATGAATAGAAATGTTGATCTAACTAATGAGTTCTTTTTGAGATAAAAAAAATCCAGCTCCTCCAGTTCAAACATCTGGAAAATGATGATGATGATGATGATGATGGGGCAAAACAAGGGAACACAGTGAAGTGTGATCAGCTTCTGTTGATCATCCTCCGCCTGTTGTTTCCACCTCGATTGATGAATTAAAGAAAATAAGCGAATGATGGACGGATCATGATAAAACAAGTTGCTGCTGTACACCTCATGAAGCTCAAAGTTGCTTGTCTTCTCTGAAGGCAGGGAAGTTTTCTGCTCAACACACACACACACACACACAGAAACGCACGCACGCACGCACGTACACAATTGCATATACACACAGGGAATCAAACCTTTAACCCAGGGAGGTGTTAGTGCCTTGCTTCACCCAGCAACACACTATTACAAAGACATCAAACTCATGTATAAATCGAAAACAGGGGTTTCCCGTACACGGCCACACACACACAAACACACACACATATATATATATATATATATACACACGCGCGTCCGTGCACGCGCCCAACACGCACGCGCTCCGCAGGCAGACGGCGAGACAGACGTCTGGCTTTTGCTCGACATGACGAAGCGGCGACTAAACTTCCAGCTCCCGCTGCACGAAATAAAAATGAAAAACTGTTCTTCCGGCGGCGCAACATCCACCGTCTCCTCCACAAACCCCTCCGGGACAAACTTACACACACTTCTCAAAACCTCCCGCAAACCCGTCTTTAAAAAAACACAACAAACAAAAAAAAAAAAGAACCCAGCAAACCGGGGAGACGGTCGTGTCTGGGGCTGTTTCGCCAGGAGCAGGCGAACCGGAACCCGGTTGGTAAAAACGCCGAGTTGTGCAGAAATGAGCCTCAACGGCGAATAAAGCGGCGGCGAAGTCGAGTGAAACCCGTGCGATCGGAACGAGGCGGCGGCGGGGCTCAGTTCGGCGGGGTCGCAGGGGGACGGGGAAGCCTGCGGTGGCTCCGGTTTTGGGTCAAGTTCAACAGCGAGCGTCGCGGAGGACGGAGGACGGAGGAAGGTGGGGGGGGGGGAAGTTAACGTCTTTGAGTGAAGCTAGCGATTTTGTTTACGCGTCTTTAAGCTAGCGGCGCTGTTAGCGATGCGCAAAAAATAAAAAAACACACACAACAAAAAAAAAAAGCCCAAAGTTAAACAGTGTGCTAAAGCTAACAACAACATGTAGCTAGGTCCGCCACATACATGTCACACACACACACACAAGAGCAGCAAAAGTGAAGTGGGACAGAGACACAAACAAACATGGAGACATGGAAGTTACTCACTGATTTCCATGCTCTGGAGGGAGGTGAAGCGCTTGCAGTTACAAGTACAGGAGACATTGGCGGCGGTGGCGTTCGGAACACCCATCAAGTTCAACATTTACAGCCTCCGGAGAGCAGACATCCACACGGCCCGGGTGGAGACACACAGAGAGAGAGAGGGGGAGACAGAGAGGGAGAGACAGAGAGAGAGAGAGAGAGAGAGAGGGGAGAACCGGAGAACTCCACAGAATCCTCCCTTTTCCTCTGCTTCTCTTCCAGCCTCCTCTCTCCTTCCTTCCTCCGCTCCGTCCGTCCTCCTCCTGTCGGGTTTCTCCACCTCCTTCTCCTCCTCTTCCTCCTCAGTCAGTCTATCTCTCTATCTCTCTATCTTTCTATCTCTCTATCTATCTCTCTGTTAAAGTGACCGCACAGTCTTCACGTGTACTTTGCAGCTGCTGTTGTTATTGAATCTATAGTTCGGTCACTTTCACTGTTCGGTTCCGTTCGTTAAGAATCAGCCTTCGTGTCTTTCCGCCGAGAGACCGGCGACTGAACTGGACGTCTGCTCCTCTCCCTCCCTCTCTCTCTCTCTCTCTCTCTCTCTCTCTCTCTGTCTCCAGGGATTGCTCCGTCTCTCTCCATCTATCTCTGTCTGCTCTCTCTCTCTCTTTCTGTCTGCTCCTCTCTCTCTCTGTCTCACACTCTCTCCTCTCTCTCTCTCTCTTTCTGTCTGCTCCTCTCTCTCTCTGTCTCACACTCTCTCTCTCTCTCTCTCTCTCTGTCTGTCTGCTCCTCTCTCTCCCTCCCTCTCTCTTTCTGTCTCCAGGGATTTCTCGGTGTCTCTCTCCCTCTCTCTCTTCCCCTCTTTCTTTATGACACTGTCTGTGTCTGTCTCTCATTTCCAATTTCCACTTGCTTTCATAGCACATCACAGTCTGCCACTGCATTTAACACACACACACAGACACACACACACACACACAGACACACACACACACACAGACACTAAAAGAAAAGCGTTTTATTTAACTTATTCTAATTAACGCATTTACCTCAGAGGGCTTTTGAAGAATTCAAACAAAGAAATCACTTCATCACGGATTAAATGATAAGTCTGGAAATATTTGATTTCATTTGTTTTGTCCACACGTCCTGTGAAAATCCAGACGACACCATGATCCTTATCATCGTCATCAGTGACATCATGATTTGTCTCATAGGGCGGAACGAGGTGCAACATCCTGTGTTCTCGATAACTTTTCTTGTGGTCAGAAACATCTCATCGTCTTCATCGGCAAAGTGAACTCAACTGATTGTTTTGGGTCCCTAACATAGACCGTGAGTAAAGATGGCTGTCGATCCAGAAATGAAGCCAAAACCTCCTGGATAAGAAAGCTGCCATCTTGCATCGATTCGCGCAGTAGGTAGATAGAGCCCAGGTATACGGGTCCCGCCAATTACATCGGCACAACCGCTGTCACCCTATTTTTATATGACCTATACTGCGGCCAGCCACCAGGGGGCGATCAAGGTGGTTTGGCTTCACTTTTTAGAGAGCCGTTATGTCATCCATCTTTGTTTGGTAGATTGCTGTCCAGTTGTTTGCGTACACATTATTGATACAGAGCAGATAAAGTAAAACATTTTGCTTTGGATCATTCGGTATTTTGTTAAAAAAAAAAACGACCGCACAATAAGATTTTACTGCGACAAGATAAACAATCATCTTGAATCATCACCAAGCCCTGAAATCAATTTTAACACTGCTGTGGATGCGATGTCAGCTTTTCTTTCCATCCTATGTTGAAAGTGGAGCCTTGTGTGATACTTGCCCAAACCGAATCTGGATTTAGAAACATTTGAAGACACAATGATTCAGCCTTCAGTGTCTGACCCTTGCTTCCAAAATCCAACACTTTCTGCTGCAGCTGCTCGATGAAAACCTTCCGCTGGTCGTCAGCTGCTTTATTCACCTGTATTTTGTAGCCCTCGCGAATAAAAGGTCAGAACAGGGTCGATTTGAACTTGAACACTGCGTCTGAATGTCTTGTGCCGGGACATGAAAACACAGCATATTCAATTGTTACTCAAAATTTAAGCACCGGTTTTTCATTAACAGTTTCACATGCAGGCCGAACCTCATTAACAAGGTAACACAACTGTTTACAACACATTTCCATATAACCTGAAAATATGCATCCCGAAAGGGCTGTGAAAGCAGAATCAAAAATATCAGTGTCCTTGAGTGTGTGTGTGTGTGTGTGTGTGTGAGTGTGTGTGTGTGACTGCAGTGGATCAACAGAGCCAGACAGCATTGCATCACCTCCATGATTGACAGACCCCGGGGACCAATGAGGCGGGACTGAAGCAGCGCGTCTCATCTGAGTCAACTTTGTAATTAGGTCTGCTGAAGTTTTATAGCTGCATGTTAAAGTGGTTTTATTGGCCAGCTGGACTCACAGAGGATCTAATCACACGGATAAAGAGAAATATACACACTGTCCACATTCATAGCTCAGAGTTTACGGGAAATTAAACTTGTTTCCTTTTGAGAGGAAAAGGAGAGATTAAAGACACAATGACGGAATCAAACTTGTGACCATTTATATCCTGAACAGGTTCTCTTGCTCATGTGTGCCATGTGATTGAGTTCTGAACTTGTTATTAGAGGTGGATGCCATTAAAGGGGTCAGTTCGCCCGACAGACCCTGATTCTGTATCTTCTTCTTTATCTGTGGTGTTTCCGTGACTTTCCTCATGTTAAGAACAGAGACGCCTCTAATACAACTTTTACTATATTAGTATTAGTACATTAGTACTACTGCTAATCCTAATACCAACCATTAGCGTTACATGATTTTTTGATAGATGTTTTTACCTTATGTAATTTGAATATATGTATTGGATTACATTTATATACTAGTTTTTGTAAATATCTGCTATGATATGTAGTTTCAATGCTGATAACTGTGGGGCTGTATAACATGAGGTGGTTACAATGGATTATGGGTATTCAAGAGGTTGACTGCGTATAAATAAAAGCAAATAAAATCCTTTAATGGGAAGTAGGCGTGGATATTCTCTACTTTTAACAAGGCGAGCCTGATAGTCAACAGAATGCCACGGTGCAGTGGTGCAGTGGTACAGTGGTACAGCGGTTGGCAGAGGGTTCGAACCCTGTGGAGTTTGCATGTTTGGTTAATTGGAGACTGGTTGACTTTGACTGTGATTGGAATAAACAGTATACATGTTGGCTGGAGGATTTCATGGTGGCCTCATACACCAGTGGATAACAGGGTGTCAGGCCTCTGCTGCCCCCTGCTGGACCCCAGCAGCACTGCCACATGTGACTCCGGGCCTGTACACTGGACGAGGTGATGGTCAGACATACTTTGACCCCCACCTCCCCTCCTACTGTTGTTATCAGGTACTGGATCGAGTGCACTGATATTGTGATTATCATTCCGGGGATAAAGTATTCTCTCGTACTTTTCGTAAGTAAAATTCTCTCGTACTTTTCTTCTGGAGCTGTGGAGGACAAACTTTTGGGAAAAGTTTCCCCTTTGTTGTCGAGAGTTAAGTGAGCAGACAGCTCTTGAGAAGAGTCTTCAGTCACATCTCTTTTGACCCATTTACAAATTAATGCTGTTGCTGCTGCCGCTACTGCACTTAATAGTTAGTTCAGGTTTATGCTTTTTGGGGATTTATGCAGCGGTAAACTCCCAAACTATATCATCTAACACAGAACGAGGGGCGCACACATCCAAAGAAGTTCTGCTTTTGCTGGATCAAAAAAAAGAAAGTGCTGGAAAAGTCAGACAAAAGAGCTGCACACGGAGCTGATATTCAGAGAAAATCCATTTTAATAAAGCAACATTTCAATCTAACAGAGATATTTGTCAAACTTAAAAACAAGCTACACAGACAATGGGGAGTAAAATAAAAAGGTTGATTCACACTAAACCTCAGTGGCATTCCTGCCATAACACACGGAAATGCCTGAGGTGTTACTAAATTCAGGTTGATGTGTATCTCAGTGGAAGAAAGATACAACCAGGATGTGATGCTGTCAGACTGCACCCACGTTTTTGGTGGTTTTCATTTGTGTCACATCACTGTACAACAGCACTGCACTCCAGATATTGTCCAGAACATTTTCCAGAGGGGTTTTATGGAAACGATCTCTGTCATCATGAAAATAAAAGCTCCAGAAAATGTCCAGAACCAATTTTCCTGACGTGTTTCTTGTCTGGAAACTGGTCCATACTGTTACACGTGTGGTTTGTGATGTAGTGAAACTAAGCAGGTGGAGTCTGACTGTACGAGGCCTTGGCGCAGGCAGCAGGATGACACACTGATAGTCGAGCTGTGAGTCAGTTTACCGTCGAAATGGTCTGAGTCACCAACACGGACACCCAGGTGTGGTCATTCTTTGTCTCCCTCCCTCTCCATCCCTCTCTCGCTCCTCGTCAGTCTCTCTCATCCCCTTTTTATCGCACCCTTTCTTTTGAAGACTGAAGTGGGTGAATCACTAGGCCGGCTCTTTCCCTGCCGTCTGGCTCTCTCTAAGAATGAGTGTATCTATTTATCACTGTCTTTTCTGGTGCTCAGACTGAAAATTGCAGTGTATTAGGAGAAGGGGCTGCACCGGTGGAGGGGGTGGAGGAGGGGTGGCTGTTGTTTCAGGGAACTGGTGAGAAGACGAAACACAATCCAGGAAGGTCAGTTTGAGTAATAGCTCCTCAAGTTGTTGGGAGGTTTTCATGATTCCAACACTGCACACACTGTAGCAGGAAGGTAATTCACCACCTCGTGCTCAATCGAACCAGACCAGCGTCTTTCTCTAATCTAAACCGAGTGCGGCCGAAACACGACCATAAAAACATCTGAATATGCTAATACTACCACAGTAGTACCAACTACTTATTTTTTCTTTTGATGGAAATCAATGAAAAACCTAAAAGATGTTACTGATCTGTTCAGTCGGCATTTAATAGATACAATAGACATGTTTTGGCAGTTGACAGATTCCTTCCATCTTTAAATATAACTAATTTAAACTTATCATAAACATGAACACTTAAACAAACATCAGTACGATAAGAACTACCTACAATTGACCTATACTGCAGCTGGCCAGCAGGGGGCAATCCAGATGTTTGGCTTCACTCTTGGGGAGCTGTCACGTCGTCCATCTTTATTTATAGTCTTGGTAGAACCCAGATCCTTCTTCCTTGTCACCGCTGCACCACTGTGCTGTCTCTTGACAGATGTCTCATTATGTTTATG